ATGAAAGAATGATGGGGTATTTATAGTTAAAAATAGGAAAAAAGTGTAATTATAAAAAGTTTGTTATTAAAATAAAGTTTTGGGGGGAGGGGGGTTAAATGGCTATTTTATAAATAGCCAACGGCTATATTATTTTTTTTTTATAAAAAAAATAGCCGTTGGGACCGTTTGGCCCGTTAAAGGACCGGGCCGGTCCCGGGCTAAACGGTCCCGGGCTCTGATAGGCTAAACGGTCCCGGGCTCTGATAGGCTAAACGGTCCCGGGCTCTGGCGGGTTAAACGGTCCCGGGCCTGACGGGCCCAAATCATAGGACCGGCCCACGAGACCGGTTCAGGCCCTCTAAAACCGGGATCGGGCCTGAACCGACCCACTTGTCACCCTTATTTAAGGCATTCCAATTTTGGAGAGAAAAGAAGTGTCCAATTATAATGACATTACGAATTTATAGTCAACAAAAATAAGCTTATGAAGTGTTCCAATAGTATGGCTAAGTGATTAACTTTGGAGATTTAAAATTCGAATCTCAACTACAATACTTAATATAAACCTATGATTTAGTTTATCTGACATATGTGCTTGTGGACTATAACAAGTTGTTCATCGAATTAGGCGAGCCTATTATAATTTTTTTTTTTCAGAAAAACTAAGTATGAAATTCACAAGAAAATCTTTATAGTTATTGCAAAAAGAAAATAAAAAAATAAAAAATTTGAACCAAATGCTAAGATAGGCCAAGCACTTAGGCTTAAAAGTCAATTCAACAAACCGTCCTAATTCTCTTTGGTCATTTATGCAAGTAAACTAATAACCAGACTTTTCTTTTTGCAGGCATGAATCATTTTCCTAGACATGTTCTTTACTTTTAAATTTCAACTCTTTTAGCTACTCTGTTATTTAATTGCGATGTTAGTTTGCGTAAGAAATAGACACGTGGCACCGAGACTGACTTCAAGAAAAGAAATGATTGAATAATTTCACTAATTCTAGAGCTTACCTTATTATTTAAAGGTTGAATTTACTAGATATCGCCTTGAGATAAGAAAATCATTTATCTGGAGTTTTCTATTCTTGATTCAACAAAAGAACCGATTAATAATTTCGAAACAAATATCACTTATTTAAAAACTACAAAAAGAAGTACACAAAAATCAAAGTCTTATTATTTAATTAATTATATTGTAAAACCCGTTTAACTATCTAAAAACAATACCGTAATATATTGGTATTTTTGACATAAGGATATAGTTTATGACAAATCGACCACTAATTTTCCTAGCAGTTGACAGTTATTATGAGGACAACTACATTTCGAATGATACCCAAATCTTTGGTCCCGTAGCCAAAATTCCTTTTTGTGGTGGTTCTCATGTACAACAAGAAACTTAGTACTCAAGGGTGAAACTAGATGCACTAGTACGGATTTTGGCCGAATCCATTAATTTTGTTTAAACAATATATTTGTGTTAAAAGATTTATTAAATTTATACAAATATTATATTTAGAATCGAGTTATTAGTACTTGAAATTGTCATTCTAAAATCCAGAACCTATAAAGTTGAAATCCTAATTTCGCCTCGATTAGTTAGAATTTTTTTTTAGAAATAGTTAGATTTACAACTGGTAATTAAAAAATAGCCACAATTTCAAAAGTAATTGGAATTCAGCCATTTTTTCATCTAAAGATAAACTCTAAATAAAAACTCCCTTAAAAATCCGGAAATATTCCAGCATAACATGCTGGAGTTCGAATTTTTTACATATGAGATTCCAGCATAATATGCTTGAATTTCATAATGTGCTGGAGTTCCAATATAATATGTTGGAAGTGTAACCGCAGAATCTTCATAATCCAGCATATTATGTCGAAACTTTTCGTGTGCTAGTTTATACGGAGGAGCTCCATAATCCAACATATTATGCTCGAACTTTCCGTGTTTCAGCAAAACATATGTTATTTTTCAATAATTTTACAAACACTGACTATTTTTTGATTACCAAAACTGACTAGCCCATGCTATTCTCGCACTAGTATTTAATAAAAGAGCCACGTCTGAATTTGTTAATTTTAATAAGTTGATAATTCCTACACGTTCTAGTGTTCAACGAATCAACGCTTTCAAATCTCAACATCAATATTAACTAAGCACCAGCTCTGCCAAAAAATCCCTTTCTGTGACATTATTATCTTTCTTTATTTTCAAGTTTGACACATAATACATTAAAGGAAAAAAAAATGGAATATACAAATAATCAAATATATATGTTATCACGCGTTTCTTGATTTGCGTTTGAATGTTCCTTTAACATGGGGTTCATTGAACTTTGAGAATGATCAAAGAAAATGGGTTTTCTTGGAAGTTTGTTAGGTATTTTTGGCTTTGGGATTGGAATTTCAATAGGTCTGGTTATTGGTTATTTCTTGTTCATATACTTTGAGCCCAGAGATGTTAAGGTAAATGCACCTGCTTTTATTTCAATGGAATGATAAAGTTGTTTACTGTATTCCTTTGATTATCTTATATAGGACAGTAATCATTTGATGGGATTTCAGCTATAATTACTTATGTTAATTATCCATTTCCTATGTTGGTTCTTGTTTCCATGTTTCACTAGAAATTGTTAGCATAATTCAGTTACAATAGATGAACCTTATGTTGAGCTCAAATGGTTCAAAGATACTCTTAATATTGTGTGATATTGTCAGCCAAGCCTGCATCGTTTTCCCAAAATGCCTCGTACCATTAAGATTATCCAAGACCTTATAAGTAGAATCTTTTCCTTTTCAATTTTCCATGTGAGACTTTGTTCACATACACCCAACTATCTCCCCCGAACTAAGTTCACATGATCCATTATCATTTATGAGCTAATTTGTAGATTAACTGTGTGCTGCCCACATGATTCCAGTATTTATGGTCACTGAAGCCCAATGAGAGTTTATGTATGCGTCTTTGAAGCTACGGGTAAAGGTAGTAAACCATCCCATAGACGGGCAAACACACTAAGCCAGACCCTACGCCATCACTGTGCCATCTCCATACCCGTCCCGCCAAACCATTGGTATGGGACTTTGTTCACACACACCCAACGCCTTCGACAAACAATTCGCTATGTCTTACACACGCCAAAGTTGTTGGTGCAAAATCATTCATCCTTCTGCATAGGCAGAGGCAAATTAATTCAGGGTTTAGAGTCAGTATTCAGAACGAGTGTTATCTTATTACTACATATGTTTTCTTTTTTATTTCGTTTCATATGTATACATAAGTTCGAACCCACACTAAATCCGCTTCAGTCATTCATTATCATGTAAAGATGAAGATAGACATGTTGATATGTTACATATGTTAGTATAAAATTGAAGAGATACATTTTGAACCAATTTCTGCTCCCTTAAAAGGTTTAACAAATTCAAACCAACTTATTGGAAAGTGAACTGAACTTCTTGAACACAAATCTCCAGGATTTACCAGAGAGTACACCATTCGATGAAATTGAGCCAAGCTCATTAGTTGATCTTCTACCTGAACTCCCATTATGGGTGATGAATCCGGACTACGAGCGGGTAAGCACTTGCCTTCTTTTGAAATTAACATCTTTATCCTATTATCCCAAGTGAAGGGAACCTTGGCGTAACCAGTAAAGTTGCTGTCATGTGATCAGGAGGTCACGAGTTCGAGCCGTGAAAACAGCCTCTTGTAGATATACAGATTAAGACTGCGTACAAAAGACCCTTGTGGTCCGGCCCATCCCCGGACCTTGCGCATAGCGGGAGCTTAGTGCACCGGGCTGCCATTTATCCCATTATCCCAAGTCAAATCTTATCTAGGTTATGATCTTATTCCTATTGTTGTGTAGGTTGACTGGTTTAATGAGTTTATAGCGAACATGTGGCCCTATCTTGACAAGGTAATCAAAATTCGCCGCTTGTTATTTCCAACATATCATTCATATCATGTTTGGGATTCTTATTCTTGTTTATGCCATGGAAATGGTCAGAAATATAGCAGCATGCCTGAATAGTGCAGTCTGATTTTATTTCCTCTACAGGCAATTTGTGGAATTATTAAAAGCACATCAAAACCTATTTTTGCAGAGTATATTGGACAGTATCAAATAAAATCTATTGAGTTTGAGCAACTTACTCTTGGAACAATTCCTCCTCGATTCCATGGTGAGCACAAACTTTATCAAGCACATGAAATGTTGCGATAAACGGCCATCTATAAGATTAGAAGTTACCCATGTTTCATTTGATCTCGATCAATTTGGCAGGTATTAAAGTATATGATTCCAATGAAAAGGAGCTAGTACTTGAGTTTGCGGTCAGATGGGCTGGAAATCCAAATATAGTTGTGGCATTGAAGTTATTATCTCTACAAATCTCGGTACAGGTAAGACTTAGTTTCCCTTTCTGTTCTTCTTATGAAGGATAGATTGACATAATCTTCAAATGAAAGTGCTATGCAATTTGCTTTTTTGTGTTAGTTATCTGATTTACATCATTTCTTTTGATTGCTTTAGTAGAGCTTAGAAGGGAGCCTTGGCGTAACTGGTTGCTGCCATGTGACCAGAAGTTCACGGGTTCGAGCCGTGGAAACAACTCTTGCAGAAATGCAGGGTAAGACGGTGTACAATAGACCCTTGTGGTCCGGCCCTTCCCGGACCCCGTGCATGGCGGGAGCTTAATGCACCGGGCTGCCCTTTTGCTTTAGTAGAGCTTAATGTTTATGGATGATACTCAGATATATATGTTGTATAAAGATTGTGACAGATTGTTGTTTTCAGTAATGTTTTTCAGGAACAACAAAATAGAAACGGAGAGAATGAATTTTTATTGAACTTTATTAGGTGATATTAATAATGTAACTCTCAATGAGAAATTTTACTGAGGTTCGCTATATTTATCTTCAGTTGATAGATTTTCAAATGGCTGCTACAGCAAGGGCAACACTAAAACCTTTGGTCCCAACCTTCCCATGCTTTTCGAGCATAATAGTATCACTGACGAAGAAGGTACGTAAGCATGCAAAATATCTGTGCCTTTCAAAGACTTTAACACTGCTGATGATCTAGAAATAGACTCGGCATAATCTGTCTAACTAAATACTATCGATCATATATGTAGCCAGAGGTAGACTTTGGGCTAAAAGTAATTGGAGGAGATTTAATGACAATCCCTGGTTTACACCATTTTGTTCAGGTAAGCTTCCTCTTTTTACCTAGTGTGCTTCTTAAGTACTAAACTCCATAGGCTAAGCTCGCATTGGATATATAGATAAAAGGTCATATCATAATTTAAGTCAAATGTTCTTTCACTTGTTGCATTTTGGGGTAAAGTGAACTTTCACCAATTTGATCTGCAAATTCAAGGATGGAATCACAAGATTATTTCTTTTACCTATGAAGAAAACTATGTGTGGTATGCAGAATTGTGCTCATTATAATATCACAAGGAATATGCAGAATAAATCTTCAACTTGGCGCCGACACAAAAGCAATCTATGTTTCGAGTTGATTACGTTTACCCCAACAGCCTAAACCAATACAGTTCCTAAAGAAATTAAATAAGCTGGAAGATATTTGTTCACAAAGAGATGTAAAATGTACTTTATGTCTCTAATAAGCAGGCAGGAATACTCAGTACCGCACGCACATTATAGAAAGGCCTTGAGTGCTTTCCTAGCTGCAGACTAATAGTTGTAGAAAATGCACCTTGAAATCTTACTCATTGGTTTGGCTATGACTTAAACAGTAGATAGAACTACTGAAGTAGGAAACTTACAAAATGTAGTAGCATAACATGATTCATCTGCGTAAGAGATATTGCTCTCAAATGAGTCTGTTAAACCTATATTTCCGTTCTGAAAATTTAAATATCCTGATACCATTGTATCTGAGTTTGGCTATTGTGGTTACATACACTCAAAAGTACATAGATTTGAATAAAGTTTTCGCTCTCCCTCCCGTTCCATGTGTTTCTAGATTCAAACTCACTATATAGTAGAGAGGAGTATTTTATACATTACCCTCCTCAGCTAGTTCTAATGGAAGTATTCGTTGGCTGACAGGAAACTATAAGCAAGCAAGTTGCCAGGCTTTACCTCTGGCCACAAACACTTGATATACCAATTCTTGACAGTTCAATGTAAGTTTTAAACAAACAATAATTTACTTGAAATCTCGACAATGGACTAATTCCTGACAGTCACTTGCACTTGTTGTGTCGTGATACTTGAGCGTTACCGTTGTAGTTTCAGCGAATATAAGGGTAGCCAAACACAATTTCTTAAGCTTTGGTTTTCTCAAAATGAAATCATCTTCCTTCTTCTCTTCCTCTTTATTTCTTTTGTCCATGTGTTTTGAACAAAGACTAGAAACTTTTCATGTATTTTACCATTCCTTTTGTACTATAAAATTTAAAATTTCTACTGTTAAAATATGCAACATAAATGCAAGTGCATCCAAAGGGATTTATAAAGGTTTTAGTCTACTCTAATCATTACAAAATTTTGATGGTGTTTAGATTCTTTTAAATGGTATTAGAATCTATTTTGGGTAATACTGATTTCAACAATTGATTTCTCACTATTCCAGCCAAATTTTCTATTGTCTCTACCTATTCTAAAGCTCTAGATTTCATGTATGAACTCTCCCTATCGAGCCATAGACGTTTCTCTCATAGTCCTCATCGAGTCACTAGCACTATTATCGACACACTCTTTAGTCTCCTGAACTTACTTTCTTTACTTCACATACACTTTTCAACTTGTTGAACCTACTCTTATTCCGGTCCACTCTTCGTCTTTTACGCAAGTTGAACCACATAGATTATGCCCGTCAAAAAGCAAATAAGCTTCTAGATTTGAAGTAAATATGATGTCTCCAATATCAGATATCTAAATGCATCCAAAGTGGTTTAACCTTGAGTTATCGGGTTGGATGCTCAAATTCTTTTCATATTTACTAACATTAGCTTTTGTGATTTTAATAGAGGAGCTGTGAAGAAGCCAGTTGGAATTCTACATGTGAAGGTTCTGAGAGCACAGAAACTTCTGAACACGGATTTTTTGAGTAAGTCAGATCCTTATGTTAAACTCAGCTTAGGTGGGGACAGGCTTCCAGCCAAGAAGACTACTGTAAAAATGAACACTCTGAATCCAGTATGGAATGAGGATTTCAAATTGACCGTAAAAGATCCCGAGTCTCAAGTTCTGCAGCTGCATCTATATGACTGGGAAAAGGTCAGAATCTTGATATCTCATGGTATTGTGGCATCATCTCAAAGTTTAATGCTATTTATTTTATTTTTCTGTAAAAAATTTCTGATGGCTAGAATTCTGGTTTCTGATTTTCTGTGAGAAGGAATTTTATTATGTACACCATCCATCTCAAATTTCCAGACCGTCTTTTACTTGCTTGGAGTTTAAGGGTAAAATGTTTGAATATATGGAAATTGGTAGAGAAGCCTTACGATTTTGAAAACAAGAAAAGTTAGTTAAAAAGATGTAATATCAAATTTTGTGTACTACGAAGAAGTATAAGTTAACATCAGTTTGAATTGTTAGAGGGAGTAAAATTTGATATTTATGGAAAGAGGTTAAGTTTTATGTTCAGAGTATTTCGGTGTCTCTTTTCATCGTCTTGAACCGAGGGTCTATCGGAAACAATCTTCTACCCCGGGTAGGGGTAAGGTTTGCGTACACACTACCCTCCCCAGACCCCACTTGTGAGATTATACTGGGTGGTGGTTGTTGTTGTTGTAGAGTATTTCGGTGGTCGTCTCCAAGTCTGCAGATGAATGTCTCATGATCCACAGCAAATGCAAAAGACTAAGAATTTTCACTTTGTTTCACAGATTGGGGCACATGACAAGTTGGGAATGCAAGTCGTGCCACTGAAATTGCTCAATCCATATGAGAAGAAAGAACTAACACTCGATTTGGTCCACAGCACAAACCCAAATGACCCTCAGAACAAGAAGGCGCGAGGCCAGATTATGTTGGAGATGTCCTTCATTCCTTTCCAAGAAGATAGTAAAAAGTTCAGCGGACCTCTTAATATTCATGAACGGAAGGAGAGTATTTCAAGCCTTTCAGATGATAATTATTCCTTGCGTGGAGCAGGTTTGCTGTTGGTTACAGTTATTGGTGCTGAAGATGTAGAGGGGAAACATCATACCAATCCTTACGCAGTGGTAGTTCTTAGAGGAGAAAAAAAGAAAACAAAGGTGACTTTTACACTCTCATATATTGTTAACCACATAGGCGGATTCATTAAACTTGATGTTTCAACGTTTAAGGTTCTAATAGCAGAACCTATTGCACTTTTTGAATTATAAAATCAGAACTAATAAAGGGCAGTCCGTTGCACTAAGGTCCCGCTATGCGCAGGGTCCGGTGAAGGACTGGACCATAGGGGTCTATTGCACGCAGTCTTACCCTGCATTTCTGCTAGAGGCTGTTTTCACGGCTCGAACCCGTGACCTCCTGATCACATGACAACAACTTTACCAGTTACGCCAAGGCTCCCCTACAAATTCAGAACTAATATTTGTTGAAATTTTAGTTATTTTTCACATATAAATCTATGTTCCACACAAAAAATAGTAGGTTCAGAACCCATGCTCGATTCACCTCTAGTTAACCATCTTATTGCTATTGTTGTCTTACCTTTAAACAACAACAATAACAACATATCCAGTGTAATCCACCAGTGGGGACCGGGGAGGATACCGTGTACGCAGACCTTACCCCTACCTTGAGAAGGTAGAGAGGTTGTTTCCGATAGACCCTCGACTCGAGGACAAATGAAGAAAAAAAACAGTAGCAACAAGTATGTTGCCTTACCTTTGTTTACCAAATATTTGTAGGCAAGGAACAAAACCTGGAATCCAAAATGGGAAGAAGAATTCCAGTTTGTGTTGGAAGAAGCTCCATTGAAGGACCTAATCCATATTGAAGTCAAGAGCAAGAAAAGAAGATTTGGTTTTCGGTCTAAGGTAAAAGAACCATCATCACAAAACTCCTTAACTTTTCATTACTACACTCTTTGAATACAAAAACTGATTTTTGTTGCATGTAATTTCTGTAGGAGTTACTTGGGTATGTAGATATCCAACTGATGGATGTGATATACAACGGACGTATCAACGAGAAGTACCATCTCATCAATTCCAAAGATGGAATTCTACATGTTGACATCAGATGGAAGGTGATCTAGCAACTGCAACGCGATGCCTCTGCACTGTAAATTATCCGTTTAGATATTAAGTTCATCGATCCTATCTCTGAACAATTTGCAAGAGTTCTCATAGCAGTTGTTGTATGTCTTGCCTTTAATTATATAGTATAAAGCCTTAATCATCAAAATCATAGCACAATGTCCGTTCTTTTTTAAAGCCATGAAAGAAATGCATACAAACATCTGCGCGCGCACGCATGTTCGTTCGTGCCTTTTGTCTTATTCTATCAGGGGTAAGTATACTTATCTGTGTATTATATTATATCAATCAATCAACTACACCTCAAGTTCAATGAGTTAATCTGCTCTTGTTAGGTTTATTTAATTCTAATACTAAATAGTTTGTTCTTTTAAGATAGAACGGAGATTCTTTATGACTTTATCCCTACACTGGCATATAAGGTTCTAACCAAAATAAAGAAATTTTGACAAGCTGTCAAAAACTAATGCCATTTTCACTTGATTTGTTTCATACTTTTTTTCGAAATTTTACAATTCTTATGTCCAAATGCCCGCTTAGTATCAATTAGTTAACATCGTATATATGGATTCTTTACTTTCTTTGTGCTATGTTCTTAACTAAATCCATATTGATTCTATTGTGTCTGCATATATTTTATACTTGTGATCTAGGACCTTTTTGTCTTCTCCGGTAGTGGCGGAGCATAATATAGTGAGGGGTGGTCAGTTGAACACCCTTTGTCAAAAACTTATATAGATCAAAAAATATCTTTTGTACATACATATTAAATTTTGAATACCGCGATATTTTTGGCTTCGCCACTACCTGTCAGTGTAAGAACCTTAGATGTATATATCATATCGATCAGTAACAACAACATACTCAGTGTGATCTCAGAAGTGGGTTCTGGGGAGGGCGGGGTGTATGCGGACCTTACCCCTATATTGTGTGAGGTAGAGAGAGTATTTCCGATAGATCCTCGGCTCGCAATTTGGCTTATGAAATTAGTGTGAAATTAGTATGTAGCTGAAATCAGAAGGAGGCGTACGTGTGACTGTGTATATGTGGAGCAGCATTAACCATAGGTTATGTTTGCCTTGGCATTATAGGAGACACTAAAATGCAGGATATCCTATATATANGAGATGACAGATTACAGCAGCAGTGGTTTTGCAAGTTGCTTTTGCTATCCCTATCAATTAATGTGAAAAACTATAAGATGTATAATCAACAACTAGAACTGTTTTCTTATCAAAATATATCTACAACTAACAACTTGAGCCGTTTTATTAAAAAAATTAAATAAAAGAGGCAAGTGTATTATAACAAATTTAATACAAACAACTCTAAAGGGAGGTGTCTTAGGCCTCATTTTTTAGACTTAAATATTATCTGAAGTTTTATCATTAAGTTCTTAATTATAAGTGCTTTATTTTTTTAGCTTTAATTTTAATTATTCAAATCTAAACATTAATTGCATCTTTTTTACAATCACTTAATGTGTCTAAATATATCTAAATGATTAAGGCTATAACAAAATTTTAATATCATTAAGATGCTACATATTAAAAGATTTCTGCAAAGATGACTGTTTCACAACTATTCCGTCCGCTTTCACTGCAAATTGTCGTCGCCACTGCCCCGATTACTAACTACCACCGTCGCTAATCACCACAGTAAACCGTCACCATCACTAGACACCATTTATAATCACCACCGCCAACCACCATTGTCACAACAATCACTAATCAGGACCATTATGTTTAAGTGAGTTTAACCAAAAATATATCTTTCGATCAAAATCTAAGTTTAGAAGAAAACGAGTTTCTGATAACCAAGTTTTGCTTCACTTTCTCAATGATATCAAAGGAAAATAACAAGAACAACTAAGAAAATAATTGATTGCCAAGTCAAGTTAGAGAATTTCGAGAAAACCGAAAAGTAAAGTATATATTTCAATATTGCATCATATGTCCTTACAAATAGAATTCTATGCCCTTATATAGGAATACACAATAGTAACGGTTTTCTCCCATAATTTGGGCTAATTATGGGCATTAATAATATTGATTGCCCATTATTTTGGATTCTCATAACCGATGCATTTATTGCTATAAATGCCTTACATCTGTTACGATTCCCCTTCCTTATTTCTTTCCGGTCCATGTATCTTTCCCTATTTCTACTATTTATTTATTCTCTGCCAGCCGTTAGGCCCGGTGCCATCTCGTGGGTATTTCTCCTCGTGCCTTCTCTTTTCCTATCAAATAAGATTGCCACGTGTCGCTATATTATTGTTCCACGCGTTATGCCATGTCAGCGGTCTAATATTCCACGTGTAGTTCTTTTTTACCACAAATACAGATAGTCCCCCCACTTTCTTGAATATTCTCTACTGAATATTCGAGGAAGTGGAAAGGTTTTTATGGCGGGAATTCTCTGCCGCCGATTTTTCGAATATAATCATATCCTTTTCTGAACCGATGTGACGTTCATCACTTTCATTTAATGATCATGCCACGTGGCTTTTATCAACTGGTCCTTCAGTTCTTCAGCGTCTTTTAGGGTTTTCCTGCAACCGCATCAGTCACGAAGTGACGGTTCCATTATGACGCTTTATAATGACCTTAATAATCGTGTCTTCTTATAAATACTTCACCCATTTTTTCCGATTTTCTAAAACCTTTCCTTCTTCGTCTTCTTGTCTTACTTTTTTCTACATCTTTTCCTTGCGTTTCTTTGATTAATCATGTCTTCCCCTGATCCTTACAAAGTTATCATTGTTGATGAGTTTGCTTCTTCCAATGTACCTATTAGAAGTAGAAGAGGTAGTAGATTGCGTAGCCTCGGTTCTATTTCTAACCGTGGTTCCTCATCTCAAAATAGTGCTGCCAATACATCTTCTTCCAGACCCAGAGCTTCTGCAACCCCAAGATCTTCTTCTAAAGATAAATATACAACTGAGGCTCTACGTGAACCCAATGTTGATGAAATTATTCCTTAAGAACTATCCTTTGTGACTGATAATGAATCCATGAAGAGTCAGGTTTCTTCCATAGCTGCTTCCCTTGATCGTGTTGATCGTTACCCAACTTTGATTACTGCTGGTCTTCTCGCTCTAGTTCGAAGAGAATGTAATTGGAAACATGATTTCCCAATTTTAGTTCCTGGCACCAACCAAAGAATAACTTCATACCAAACTGGCTATTCCTTCGTTTATACATATCCTTTTACCCTAGGCTTTAAACCTCCTATTGACCCGGTAATCATTGAGTTCTATCGTTACTTCAATGTGTGTTTAGGATAAATTGGTCCCATTGTTTGGAGAGATGTTGCATGCCTCCGTTATTTGTCAAACTTGGCTTCTATGCCCTTTACTTTTCGTCATCTACTCCATTTTTACTCCCCTAAACTATTTCGTGAAGGAGTTTTTTCCCTTGTGGCCAAAAGCAAGAGAGTATTAGTTATCCCTGAGGATGATAGAGATCGAGGCTGGTATGCTCTCTTCGTTGCTGCTCCCACTAGTGCTTTGGCGGGTGAAGAAAATATGCCTTTTCCAGAAAAGTAAAATTTTGCACGTAAGTATTTGCATCTTACCTTATTCCTTTCTCAAAATTGATTCTCAGGTATTTTCATCCCTACTTTTTCAACAACTATGGAAGTTTTTGAGCAAATTCCCAACTTTCGTGCTTGGGTAGGAAAAAGTTGCTATATGTTGCCCCTATGGAGAGAAGATCTTGGAAGTATCTCTCTTAGAGATTTGGGTGGAAAGTTAAAACACACGGTACTCTTTCCCGCTTAGTCTTCTTCTTTTTCCCTTTTGCTAACTTAAGAGTTTTTCACCGTGACTCTTTTCTTTTGTTAGGATTTCCCATTCATGGTGTTAGTCCCGCTTCTGTTTCATCTGCAAAACTTACGATGAGTCTTGCTCAAGAAAGGATTCTGAGCTCTTCTTTAAAGAGAAAAGTAGACGGAGCCCGTAGCTCTGAAGGTGAAGAGGAACAAGAAGAGGGTTCCTTAGTGCGCAGGTCTCGGGCTAGGAGGCGCGTTATTTCAGATGATGAAGCCACCCCTCCTCCAAGTTCAGTTCTTTTGAATGAGTCTGAAAGTGCTACTTTAGTGAGTTCTGATGAAGAGATAGATGCTCCCCCTCGTGACTCCACTGATCAACTATTTTCCCGTGGTTTTGATAGTGAAGATTTTGGTCCCGTTTCTGAAAAAGTATCCCTTGCTTCTTTTCCAGCGTCAGTCCCCATTCGTTCTCAATCTAACGTTCATGTTGTTGTTGCTACTGCTCCCCCCGTGGTTGCTTTCACTTCCTTAACTGTCCCTGTTACTACTACTTCTCATGTTAAAGTTGGTACTTCTGGTAGCAATAAGGTGATGAAAAAGTTTACCATAGAAATCCCTGAAGGTGGTAATCTGTTGAAAAAATCTAGTCAAGCCGACATATGGTTGAAACCTCTACTTGGCCCAGTTGAGAAGTCAAAGTTGGAAAGCAACAGTTCCTTGACATGGATGAATGACATTGTTCATTCATCTTTGAAGGTTCAAGTCTTAACTTTTTTCCTTTCTTTCCCTCGTGGTTATTTACTTTTGTTTGACAAACGCTTCTTTTTTTCTTTTGTTGATCAACTTGATAAGCATGGAGCTTATGAAGGGAATTGTTCATACTGAGCAGCTAGTCAATGATTTTTGTATTGAAGCGGATAACTGGAAGGAACAATACGAGGGTCTTCAATTAGAGAAAGAAGTTTTAGCTGAAGAGAAGTGTGCTTTGGAACATCAAGCAAGGATGATGGCGGCGGAATTGGCAGTTGAAAAAGCTTCTTAAAGTCAAGTTGGCAAAGACAAAGACATCCTCGAGTCTTCATTTGCAGAGCAACTTTCTAAAGCTACCAAGGAGATAAGGGGTTTGAAAGAACTCCTTAATCAGAAGGAGACTTATGCCGGGGAGCTAGTTCAAACACTCACTCAGGTTCAAGAGGAGCTTCGTGCCTCCTCTGATAAGATCCAGTTCTTGGAGAGTTCCTTCGCCCCTTTGAAGGCTTTTTATGATTCTTCTTTGATTGATAAAGAAGAGTTGAAGGCTGAAATTGACCAGTGGGAGAGATTACGAAGCCCTTGAAGATAAATTGACACTTGATGTAAGTTGGGCTTTTCTGAATACCCGCCTCGAGACTTTGATGGAGGCTAGCCATGAAGGCTTTGACTTGAATGCTGAGATCGCTAAGGCTAAGGAAACAATTGAAAAAACTCAACAAA